CAGAACCATTAGCATAAGCAGACTTACGTATAAAGCAACTGATGAAGAGACAAACAATCGACCGTACATGCATTTTCAACAAATTCAAACTAAACTAATTTTTATGATATTATATGATATTTTTATGAAATATCTCAAAATGTCATCTTTGTAAAAACTAATGAGAGTTATTGAAAATTTGCCAGTGTTAAAAAGTATACGCATCATATGTGTATGTGTTTGGTGTTTGTGTAAATGTGTGTGTGTGTGTGTGTGTGTGTTAGGCAAGGCAAGCGTATGTACGTGTGTGTGTGTTTGGTGGGAGAGAGAGAGTGTGTGAGAGAGAGAGACAGAGAGAGAGAGAGAAAGTGTGATTGTGTGTTTACCCGCATACTCAAGATTTTTTGAAATTTTAATTAAGAAGGCAATTATATTGACACAACACACAACCTCCAGCAGACGGGCAACAACAACTTTGATGTGCCTGTTTCACTTTTGAGTCTTTGATCATGAAGATCACCGTTTAACACGTTCAGTCCTTGATTTTGTGATGGGTTTCTGATTAATTGAGCAGTTTTCATTTCGCAATTATCGACTTAATTGACTTCATGTTTTCTCTTTATTCGTTCGAATTGTTCTTTCATTTAAATCGGTATTTCAATTGGGATTTTTTTTTGAAAAGTTTCTTATTAACCCTCATACTCCAACAAAACGACGCAGATTGCATCAATCCATAAATTTTAATTTCTGCTATGTGATTCGTTTTTCCTCATACAACTTTTCCAATTAGTTAATTAATTAAACAATATTAATCATCGTAACGTCAGCTGAAGTGATTTCAAGACACGCATAGACACGAGAGATGCGAAGTTTAACAAATATAGGTGAATGATTTGCGCACATATCCTGGAATGGCAAAAATTTGTCACGTTAAATATGTCCGAAAATTGTAGATGTTTATTTATCTGGGACATTTTCGTCAAAGTGTCTTTAGATGTTACGTTCATGTAAAGAATTCTACCTTGACAAAAATGCGTTTTTAAACACGTTAGACGATATTTCTGCCTTTCTAAGCAGTTACTCTTTGGCGAGAGGAATTTTATATAACAGTTTATAATACGAATAATTCTTCAACAGATAATTTTTTCAAAGTTTTTCATCGGGTGAAGTTTTTCCATTGCTAGGAGAAAATTTACTGACTATGCAATCCTCGGATTCAACTTACAATTGAACAGAGAGAATCATTTTTAGATTTGAAAAAAATGAACTGCATTTTCCAACAGAAGACATTCAACAATGACAGCTTCATAAAGCCATAAAGCCGTGTTCGTCTTCAAAAAATAATTACTTTTCCTTAGCGGTTTCGTTGGAAGCAAGTTGGGTTCGTTTGATTTTTTCTTTCCTCAAATTATTCAAATTGACATTTTTGATGTTCCCACAGAGTTCACCTTTCATAGCGGTTTACGCCATCAGACCGTTGATGTGGTCCATGTAGATGTACATAGAGCTGGCCAGGGTTTGCCATGGATATTTGCAAGGGACTACCCTATCAGGACATTTTGTCCACTGATTCTGTTGTTGTTGCTGGCGTTGTTGTTTGGGATTCTGTTGATGTTGTTGTTGTTTGTGATTTTTGATGTTGTTGTTATTGTTGTGGTTGGTAATTTTGTTGATGTTATTGTCGTTAAAGTAGTTGATGGGATTCGAATGACATTTTTCGCGGTTTTTGGGATTGCGGAAGTTGTTGTGATGATGTGATTTGCTGTCGTTTCTATGTAATGTTACTGTTACTTTTGATGTTATTGTTGTCGTTGTGTTGTTTTTATTACTGCAGATGTTGTTGGCTGATGCCAAGTGCATTGTTCGTCTTGTTTTATTGGCGGTTGTTTGTTTGATGGATGAATGAGTGAGTGAGTGAATGAGTGAGTGAGTGAGTGAATGAGTGGGTGAATGAATGAATGAATGAATGAATGAATTAATTAATTAATTAATTAATGACCAAATGATTCGTAATAGTACAAAACTTTCGTAAATTCGTTATTTTAAAATACATTTTTATGTTATATTTTTAAAATGTTTAAAATAAGTTTTCCGTTAACATTTTTAACCTAATTAAAAAAATGCATCAATCGATTTGATTTGTAACGGCTTGGACGGCCAAAACATCGAGCATCTTCGTAATTAACATCATTAACGTCATCATCGTCTTCTCCACTACCATCCTCATCATCCTCATCACTTTTTCATCAAAAAAAACTATTGCAAAGAAAAGAGTTTAACAAGTTGAACCAAATTTGATTCCGAAAGAGAATATAAAAAACCTAACACAATCAGTTTTAAAATAAACAAAAAATTTTTTATTTCAAATGCAAAATTACAAAAGCAAATTTTTGAATTATTCTTATCTGAAATTTGCTCCCCAGACTAATTATACCAGTCTTTCACGCTTCCTCCAACAGTTTCAACAACTGGGGACTAGAGCGTAAGGGAAGAGAAAGTTATTGGCTTGGTGTCGACATAATTAATTAATTAGTTCTGATAACTACCTACATGGAATAACAAGAAATTAAAATTGATAAAAAATAAAATAATATCAATGAGTAATTAGGACAAAAAGAAAGAGAGAGAGAGAGAGAGAGAGAGAGACAAAGAGAGAGAAAGAGAGAAAGAGGAAGAAAGAGAGAGGAATCATTTTAAAAAGAAATTGCTATATGCTGGTTATTGGTGTCATGTAAATATAAGCAGCATATGATTTTATTGTGACTAAACAAAGAAATAAAATAGAGAGATGTTGGTGAATGCTTTATTTACCGCTCTCTTTAGTTATAGATTTTTACAATTTTGTTTTGTTTCTAGATTATATATTCATTTTCAAAACTTTCATTAAATATTTTCTTAGTTCAGCATGCAAGAAAACCAAAATTGATGGTACACTGGACGGCTGTACGAGATGGTCATGTTTAAATGATAATGTTTGCAATTATTAGAAATAAGTAAATACATTTTCATTATCATTTTCATTGAAAAAAATGTTGCCATTATATTAAAAGGAGACAACAATGAAGACGAGACACAAATATTTAACGGTTGTTGCGTCAACAACTAACTAACAACAGCAACAACAACAGCAATGACTCCAACAAAGATTTCATTAACCACACTACTGGCAGCGAGGTTGTTGGCCACATTATCATTCTCGGCAGCGGGAAGTCTCGACGTCGACATCCAGGCCACCAAGCTCGACGAAACAAACTTCGTCACCATCTCATGCATCACCAATCACCACAATCACCGCATCTCTCTCAAAGGTCACGTGACTGAAAATATTCTCAACCACGTGACCTTCCCCGACGACGGAAGAGGAAGTGACGTCAGAAGGCCGCCAAAGATGGACGCCGTATTGATCGCTAGACAGAGAGGAAATATAAGCTGGAGCATCTACAATAATGATGATGATAAAAATAACAATAACAATAACAACGATAAAAATACTACTTATACTATTACTACTACTAATAACAACAACAACAATATTAACAAATACTTTAACAATAATAAAACTATCGGCACATTTTTCTGTTCGAACTTTGAGACTAGCGAAAATTCGCATTACTTCGAGATCGTCAAAATCGAAAGTAAGGGGAGATGATGACGAGTAACAATAACAATAAATAATAATAATAATAATAATAAATAATAATAACAATAATAATAATTCATCCTATTCAGATCTTATATGCTCCATGCTGCCGCCTCTCCAATGCAACCTCTCGTATTATGGAAACTTTCGACCCATGCTAAACTGTGGATACAATAATAGCAATAACAATAATAATAATAACAATAATAATAATAATAATAACGTTTTCAAGAATGTTGGTGTTATGCGAAATGGCGTCTGGTCTGATGGCGGGTTGTTTGATTCTCCTCAGGTGTTCTGTACCGTGTCAGTGTGCAATGGCGGTTAGGGTCTTTTCATCGTTTGGATTCATTTTTTAATTGTTTATAAACTTTTGTTTGTTTGTGTGTGTGTGTGCGCATGTGTTTGTGTGTGTCTGTGTGTGTGTCTGTGTGTGTGTGAGTGTGGCTGCGTGCTTGTATGTTTGTACTTTCTAACGCGATTGCTTTTTTGGTTATGCTTCCAACATATTTCCTTATTTACCCAGACAGCTCATATTTATAATATAAATTCATTAATTCATGCATGCATGCATTTATTCGTTCGTTCATTCATTTGTTCGTTCGTTTATTCTTTCATTCATTCATTCATTCATTCATTCATTCATTCAATCATTTACTCATTCATTCATCTACAAGTTTTTTCACCCACTTCGTAGAATGCAGGGGATTAGTGATGATCAGGTCACAGCGAAGAAGAGATGTTACAGACATCATACCGACGGTCGAGGTTATCGGTTATCCGATTATTTTTCTGTTGGCAGGCAGCTCTCTCGCGCTCTTCGTCGCAGTATCCGTGTTTGGCCTCTCTGCTTGCAAATGTAGACGACATTCTGACAGCATGAGTGAGCGTACGAAAGTGCATGGCAGCATTAATGACACTGAGAACAACATCAATAACATTAATAACGCTACATTAAACAACAACACTAACAACAACAACAACAGCCTGATCAACAAAATTTTATTTAACAGTATAAATTTACATAACAACATTAGCAGCATGTTACGCAACAATAGCATAGACAAGAGCGCTTCAATTGACCAGACCTTGATCCGCAACAACGACAACAATATTAACGATATTCACGGAAATCTAAACAACATCAATATAGTCAGCGATAACAACGTTAACATATTCAACAACAGAGACAGCAGCAGCAACAATCAAAACAAGGTTAATAAAAACAACAACACAAATGTGACAGCCGTAGTTCAAAAGTTTGAGAACAACGGCAACAGACAAAAGAGTCTAAACCTCGCGACTACTCTTGAGAATATGAACAGCGAGGCCAGCTTCAACGACGACGCTTCCACCTTCCAATCAGTGAACTCTCACAACT